GTGCATATAGGCTTAATGTTTCTATGTGACTGGAGGAGCCTCTTAAGACCACAGCATTTTAGACCAAAATAGTCTTTTTCACATCTAACAACATGAAAAAGATCAACATTTTCACTTTCTCCTGAAAGATTTGGTGAAATATTTTTCATCCAGAGAGAGTCTCCTTTGTTTGTGAATAAAGATGTAGATTTTACTTATTTTTATACCTTGTACACATTTGGGAACATTCACAGAAGTATTAAAATCGGTTTAGATCATCAGGCTAGTGAGAGTGAATAATTACTGGATAAAACTCATTTATAGATCAGTCAGAAGAAAGAAAAATACACAGTGAAGGGAAATTGTGGAATTTTCAGCCTGTTTCAGATGTCAAAAAGACTAGATTTATACTACAATCCTCAGATCYCAGGACGTTAATGTATTTTAATACAAAGACCCATCATAAACACAGTACTCCCGGGTCACATCAATATATTATTATGATCTAGTGCTAAGTTTCTAAGCAATTGCCTTCTTTGTGTTTATTCTGTATTGTTTGTCATACAAATATTGAAAATGCAAGTGAATTTGAATGTTTGCCTAAAACCTTTYCACTTGTATTTGATTTTAAGATTTTTAAAATTGTGATAATATTAATGCAAACTAAATGAGTTGTAGAATCTGATGTTTATAAATGACTCAGCAGTTTTTTGCATGTGGAGTCTGTGTTTGATGGAGGCTCGGGTTACTTTGTTTCTGCTTCCACCTTTCACCAGACACGTTTTCATTTTGCAAATCAGTTATGCAAATGTGGCTCACTTCACCCTTTTCATATCTGCTATATCACCAGACTCTTCCTTTATTTATCTGCCACTGGCTTTGTTGTAGTACCTTTAGCTGTTCTGTTGGCTGAGAAGAGATCCAGTCATAGAAAACAAATGTTTATCTTATAGATGTGGAGGTAAATAAAAAATATATTGAATAAAACTGTGATTTAGAATTAACACTGCAGATCTGTTTCTCATAAACCATTGGATGGGTTTTGATAAACTTCCACTGTTTCAGTATACTTCAAGTATCTTATTGTACTATTTTTAGATACCGTAATGCTCCTTTTAGCTAATCATTTGCTAATTTCTGTTATTGTTCTAGTACCTTTAGCTTGCYCTTTGCTACTTTTAGTTAGCATTTTCTTCTATTTCTAGTGTGTGACTTTTTAACTTTTGTGTTCTGCTTCTTTGAACAGTTCAGGGMCTTCAGTGTAATCATTCAGCACTTAGCTTTCCTGTTACACTTTTGCAACAAAAAAAAAATCAACAACACATTTTTAAAAGTTAAGTTTATTGCGGGCTTTAGTACAATACAGTGACAGAACATTTGCTCARTAAAATAGTTAACCAGAAAAGGTTAAATGGTAGCCAGAGAACTTGGTTAATGCTAAGTATGTTAGCCTGATAGAATAGTAAATGGATGTTCTGATGMATCTCAGTAATCCAGGTAAAAATCAAAAAGAAAAAAATTGTRTAGGTCTTCTGGACGGGTTCTTCTCTRATGAAACGTTTCGTCTCTCCTCCAAGAGACTTCTTCAGTCTGAGAGTTTCAGGCAAAATTCAGGCTTTTAAGCCCTGCCTCCATGTGACTGATACTCACATCACATGGCTATCGTTGACACCTAATTAACACYTATTGTTAACAGGGGGTGGAGTGATACTGGTAATAGCCGCGTAGGAGGGGGACAACTGAAAACGGAGGCCTCCACCTCTGTTTAATGATGGACGGTCTTTCTTCACAAAAATGGCTTCTTTTACTCCTCTCTCAAACCAACGTTCCTCTCTATCAAGAATGAGAACATCCTCATCTCTGCAAGAGTGACCACTGGCCTGTAAATGAGTGAAAACTGCAGAGTTCTGGCCATTAGATTTAGCTCGTCTGTGTTGGGACATTCTTTTGAACAGTGGCTGCTTTGTTTCCCCGATGTATAACTGGTCGCAGTCCTCCTGGCACTTAACAGCATATACAACATTGCTCTGTTTGTGCCGGGGCACCGGATCTTTGGGGTGAACCAGCCTTTTTGCCGTAATGTGTTTTGGGGTTTGAAAGCCACTGGGACATCATGTTTAGAAAATAAACGTCTCRGTTTCTCCGAAAGTAGTAAATGGATTTAATCAGTGGTAGGCACAGCTAACCAAAATGTTTGCTAATCTGCTAACTAAAAGTATAGCTTAGCTAATGTTAAGCCACTAAACATACAAAAAAAATTAGCTGAAGCTAACACTAAACAGCTAAAAAGTACAACATTAGCAGAATATATCAGTAACAAATAATTGATAACCTCTGAAGACTGTCACTCAGTCTGTGTTACACATCTTTGTCTGCTTGGAGTTGAACACTGGTGGGGGTGACACAAACCTGTTGATGTTAGTTAGCTGTTAATTAAAAAGTTAGTGAAAAAGCTATTCCTAGATTGGCTGCTATAGCTGKTTAGCAAAACCATACCCACCACTGCATTTCATTGATGCGTAATTAAAAAAAAACTATGTTTATGGAATATTGAGTATTGACACAACTTTAATTAGTAAGTAATGAACGCAATTTTGTCTGTAAAAATATATTTTAACTTGTTTCCACATTCAGCATCACAGCGTCGCTTTTTACAACACACTGCTGTGCGTCACGTGACGCACCCTGGGCCGGGCGCGCTTCCGCCGCTCTGAGCTGGACCAATAGAAACCCTCCGTTCGTGCGTCGGGCGCGCGCAGAACGTGTACTTCAGCAAGCAGCTGTAGCTCTCCGCTCTCTGGGTTGGGGATGTCTGACAATGAATTTGAACGTCCTCCGAACGAAAAAAAGAAAAGCTTTTCGTTTTACTAGACTTTTATTTCGCTGACRGACAGGCTCGTCTTTTAAATGGCTTTTGTTTTGATAGTTTCAACGGCACGTGAAGAGGCTGACAGCCTCTTTTTTTCTCCCAACCTTCTTTGGAGGCATGTGATACAGGCTGGAGTCTAGGCGGGTTTCACGGATGTTACCGGGAAAACAATAGAGGAGGAAGAGGTTGTTTTTTATTATTGTATTGGGCTCCGTGGATTCTGTTAGCCACGACGCAGGAGGAAAGACACCGGTTTGCTAGCTGTTCCACGGCTAAGGTGAACACGAACAATGAGTCTGGAGCTCAACAGCTTTCTTTAATGACTTAAACCCACAAAGACCGCGTTTTGTCAGGTTGGAGGCTCGGTTCAGGCGCGGCCAGCAATGTGGATTACCTCCCGACTGTTTGCCCTGTTTGTGTGAACAGAACTGGAGTAAAGTCCTGGTAGAGGTACCGACACGAACCCCCTCCACCCCTCGGCTTTTATCAGAAGTGTGTCTGCCTGAAGTGGACCCGACTGAAGGACTGACCCGGGACCAGCCATGTCCAACGACTCTGTCCAAGTAAGTCCAGACTGGATGTCCTGCACCCTGCGTCCATCATGGTCTCCTCAAACTGTGACCCTGGTGTTACACACACAGCATCTTAAACCTGCATTTTCTTTAAAACTGTAATATTATGCCACAACAAATAAAACAAAAGCTTTTCTTTCCTTTTTTTTCTTTAATTTAGAAAATTGTGTTTCTAACAATCGATTAATCGTAAACTCTAAAATGTCATAACACATTATCAGAAGTGGTTTATGTAAAATGAAATTATTTCAATTGAAAGAACTTGAAAAGAGCTACCAGTAACAAAGTTACAGTATGAGAAAGTCCTGCATTGAGCTATGTAATAAAATATCATTTATCTCTAATATAATTGCCCAATTTTGACATTTTATTTAGAGAAATTGCCATGAAGTCAGCAAGTGTTCATTGATGAATGTTCAGAGGAATTTTCAGTTGGCAGAAGTTTTACTAAATATAATTAGCTTTTTTCACACTGAAGATTGAGTTTATTATTGCAGGAAGTAATTTTCCTATTTATGATCACATTTTTAGTATTCCAACCTGTTTTAAGTTGACGGCCCTGCCATTTAGGAAAGTAACAAATTCAGTGGTTAGCATTCAGATTAACATTCCTGTAGGCCTTCCACACCTCAAAAAAACATTTACTTTTTCACTTTTGTTGTTGTTGTTTTGTAGTTTCAAAACATGTTATTGCCTGGCTGGTACAACAAATTATTTRAATCTGGATTGAACAATTAACCAAATTGTGTGTGTAAACCAGTTTTTCTTTTAACCTTTTATAACCTTTTTTGCTATTGAGCCATTTCCGGTTGATAATGATCCCAAAGTCAGTATTTAGCAATGCATTGTGGTCTATTTATGTATATTTATGTCCATTTCCACCTGGTTGAATTACACTAAGTCTAAACAGTCTTTATGTCCACCAATGTTGTAGCTTTGCTCTGAGATCCAGCAATATTACACATTGCTATCACAAAGTAAAATACCAGTAAAGCTAACTTGTAAATACATTTGTATTAAAGTCAACAAGAAAGCAGGACAGGACCAAAACAACATAGCTAAACATCAGCCATAAATAGCTAGAACCCTTTTTGAGCATGTGGTGCCTGATTTTATGCATTAGTAGCTGTAATCACCTWCTTTGTCAGGACTGACAGTCCTTATTGGGACCAAARCCTGGTCCTAAATATGTAGAAAATAATTTTTGTGTTAGGCTGATAAAGTTTACTGATACAAAGGGTAAAAGTCAGACACAACACGGATGCTTGGGTGTAAAGGAGCCCTTCTTTCAGCTGCAGTTTTCTGTAAGGATGACTTGCAAGACTTTAGGTCTGCGTGCCCTGGTTTGAAATTGTTTCTCAAACTTTTGAGCAATACTTGAAYTGAAATCTGCTCGGCTGTCTGCCTGCTATGACGTGGCGTCATTGAAAGGTATGAAACGAACGAAGAGCATGTAATTTATACATTTGACTGAATTTTAGAGTTTAACCTGGTAAACTTTAAGTGTGTTGTGGTGTAAAAATTTTCATACATAAAGTTACGTAATCAGTAATTGAGTTATCACGCAGATGTTGCAGGTTAATAGTTTTCTTTGTAGTCATCTGTTCCTGTTTGCAGTTTACGAACATTGAGCCGGTCATTACTGGGCTGGAAGTGAAGCTGACAGCTCTGTTCTCTGTAATTAGAAGCAGATCATTCAAGGAWGGGAAACGTGTGAGAATGCAGAAAAGCAGCGAGGATCACTGCAGCAGAGTCGGTCAACTGGTGTGCAGATTTGGAAACAAAACAGTTGCTTTAGTTCCTGTCTGAAAAGRCAACACAGAACGACAGCATGTGAGAGTAGGGGAGTTCATGACGTCACAAAATGGTTACAAAACACAACAAATCACTTTATTTCACTGAATTACAAATTAGCATTTACCATTCATTTAATGTGGCTAGGCTCATCTTTCACGCTCTCCTTTCTTTTTAACTCTCAACACTTAAAAACCAATGTTTTATTCTTGTTTTGGACTCTTCTAATTTGTAAAGCTGRGCCATTTGAAGACGCTTCATTTAAAAAGTTTATGGCCTCCTCCCAAATGACCATTTTCCTCTTCAGTTTGCTTCATGAAGCTGTAAACCGAAACACGTGACGCTAATAAAACAAGTCTGCTTATTTGCCCAGCTCCATCTCAGCACGTTATACGACTGCTTTGACTCATTTCTGGCTTTGATGTCTTGATGTAAAAAGCGTTGTTGCGCTCGCTCCACGTCAAAACTCTTRGGCGGTAAACAATGGAGGTGGAAATTTGAGGCCAGGTTGAGGCTGTTGACTTTAAGTTTGCCTTCTGTGAGAGGTGAGGTTTTCCACTGGAATCAACTATTTGAATCGAGGTATGGCAGTCGTAGTTTGGAAATACATCTGGAGCAGTAAACAACCCATAAATAACTTCTCAAACGCCAGGCTGTTTAGGCTGCAGTCATAGTAATATTGTAGATTATTTTTAGAAGTTTCCRAGCGATGTTTTGGGAGTATTTGGAGGTCAAAACTTAGWTTGAGACTCTTATTGTGAAAGGCTGAAGGAAGTTCTGTGAGTTCTCTGCTGTGAGAGTACTAATATAACCAGTAAAAACCCTCAGCTGCAGTGATAAATAAAATAGAGCAAATAATGTTGAGTTCAACAATCACATTCATTTCCTCTGCTTTGGTCTTGAAACAGAATTTAGACTTTGTTCTCAGCATTTTCTTCCTTCTAAAATATATATTATCTGATAGTTTAAATACTTCTGTGATTCTGATTGAGAAGGCCTTACTGTAGACAMAACTAAACATTATTTTTCAAATGTTTGCAACATTGTTTACTGGTATACTGTAGTTAGCATTTTAAAGTCAACACCAGGCTTGAGGAGGAACAGTCAGTGTGTGACGTTTCATGTGGAACCGGTTTGGCTCAGACTGCCTAACAAATATGTTGTAGACTCGTCTGTGTGTTCTGTACAGATTCAACTTCATTTTTCCTGTAAAGGGGTTTGATAGTGATGGACTTTTGTTTTTAATCTGGTTGTACAACTTCAGAATTGATACATGCATGCTAACATGTAGCGTCCGTATTTACTTCTGCAAAGTCAGCGTTCTGAGTGTGACGTCGCGTCTTCTGCTATGGTTGCATCAACGCCACAGAGCGATCACACTGGAGTCTGATGGGGGTGGTTTTAAAAATGTGATAATACCACGCAAAAAAAAAAAAAAAAGGATTTTGAGCAAAATATCAGAGTTGAGCATGAAGACCTTCAGTGTGAACGTATAGTTTTTGTGACTTCACTGGAGCCAGAACAGGACTTAAATCTGAGTTCTGCTAAATTTGTGAAGTTCCTGTTTTAAGTTCCATTATTGTCAATATGAAGCAGGAAGCATTTACACCCCTGTTTGTTTGTCCCCACAGGAAGATGATATTTTACAGCCCCAGCTGTGTTGCACTTCCCCCTAAAGGTCAAAGTGGAGACTTCAGAGAAATGAAGGGGTATATGTTTTATTTGTGGTGCAGTCTAGAAAGGTTTGGTGGGAAGCTTATAGGAGGAGAAGCTGAAGAAAATCAACTCTTTTGCAGAATTATAGGATGTCCTCGGCCCGAACGTGTCGGGTGATATTCACGTRAAGAGTGAAACCCCCCCGGGAGTTGAGAGGAGTACCTCCCATAAGCCTGATGTCAGGCCACAGCTATGCACACAAAGTGGGTTTTCTCAGAGCTGTCTTCAAGCCATGAAGGCAGACACAATCCACACTTAATAAATCAACTTCTGAGGAGCTGGAAGCTCAAAAAGCTAAATGTTCTTGTTTTTTTCCAAATCAAACAATGTGGCCTTACAACTACATATCGTGTGTTGAGGGGAAGGCTTCTATAAAAAGAGACATTCATTTTATCTGATGCATGACCAAAACTGTTAAACCATTYCCACTGGAAATGTCGACCATATGAGGGGATAAATAATTAGCATCCTCTCTGAAGTTCACAAGTGTGTGAGCAGGTGTGTCTCTAYGGGAGGTAGGGATGGGCAGGGATTTCTGAATATATGAAGCGTGTAGGGCTGTGTATTGGCAAGATTATGATACATATCATGATACAGGGATCACAATATAGTATATCGCGATATAATTTGTTAGCAAGGTGATGCATTGTCATTTTTTCTCCAGGTGATTACCACGCATAAAATCTGAAACAACACTGAACAATCCATCCATTAAGACTTAATTAAAAATTGATACAGTGCTTTTGAGAATCAATAGTATCAGGAAATAAAGTGATATTTCAGTGTGTTGAAATTTGCTTACACCCCTCTGGATGTTCTAAAAGCATCAAAAGTGATTGTCTTTTTGCAAAGTTTATCAGTTTTTTCTTTTTTTATCTTTTGAAAAGCAGTGCTGTTGTTGGATAAAACTCATTCGGGTGGGGGTAAGGGTCTGAAAGACCACGTGTGTGGGAGTGGGGGGGATTCATGGTGATGATGAGGCTCTACAGCAGCAGGAGGACAATAGGCTGTATTGTCTGACAGACCAGATCGCATTCAGTTCACTGTGAGTTCGTTTTCCTCTTCCTGGCTGGGTCCTGTCAGCGACCACACCCTCCCCAACCAACCATGTGACGGAGCCGTGAAGTCCAGTCCTCGTGTGTGCTTTATGCTCCTTGAGTTGATTCGTTGTGAAATAACGTCTGATCTTTGTTTTTCTGTGTATGATTTCTTTTTTTTCTTCTCGTTTTTATCCGTCGTTAACATTTCGCCTTCCCTTTGTGCAAACGTCCTATGATTCCCATGACCTCATAGTCTCATACCCCTGCATTCCAGCTTCAGATGGACCCCCTCCTTCTCCCCAGACACACATTCACAACTAAAGCGCACACTCCGCCATGTCTCCCACTATCGGAGAGCTGTGTGAGCACCGGGCGRGCTGGAAATAAAGCAGGAAAGTCCAGGAGGATGGAAAAGAGCAAGTGGGTCAGGGTGGGCCGCTC